ACAGCAACTTACAGCGTAAAAGTTTACTCTAACTGAATTGTATTTAATCACAGTCACAGTCCAAAATAGTACGGAAGAAAGAATTTTAATTGTACAATCTAGCATACATTCTGGAGTCCAAAGTGCTGTAATCTGTGTGTAGGTAATAAATTTCGTGAGCATTTTAACGAACAGAGTGCGGTTTAAAAATGAATTATTTTGATATACCTGAAATACAATAAAAGCTATTAAAATGGCAAAGAACGAGACAAACTGTATTTTTGCAAGTAATGATTGTTTGTAAGGCCATAAACCAAGTGCGAGCAGGAGAATTTGAGTAAGTTTAAAATGCTCGAGGTCTATACGAGCCATTGTTTTCTAAACGTTGTATTTACAAAATTGACTTTTATTAGAACACGTGGTTGATTATCGTTTTCCTTGTATTGTAAATTATAATATAACACTTTCTTTCTCACGCAATTCAATTTTAACGGTGTAAAACCTGAAGTGTTAGCGTGAGAATGTAAACACGTGTTTCTCAAATTGATATGTTTGCGTTGCAGACGATAGTGGATTATTAAGCGATCACTATGACACCAAAAAACGAAACACAATAAATATTTATTTTTCAGGCAATTTCCGACAAAATACCGTATAAGTGTATTACGCAAGTGCGGTTCTCGAGACCTTTTGCAATGTTAGATGCTTCAGTGTAGTGCGCGCATTCATTGAGTGATGTACGTGTGGTTTTCGAGATTATCACTAGTCACTCGATTTTGCAGAGTATATAGGTGCGGATATATAATAAAGTATAAATATAAGTTTAACCAAATTATTAATTAGAAATACATTTAATTAAAATATTCGTGTTGGATGTTATATAATATTCATTAGAATGATGTTTGAGTATTAGTTTGTGTTACGTGCACATAGAGATTCGCGACTTTACGTTAGAAAATGAATGCTAAAAAACTATTCCGCTAATTAGCGAGCAAGATGTTTTTTCTGTATAATTAATATTGATTTTATAAAAGACGAACTACGACTCACTGAGTGTCAATAAAATTTACAAGAAAAATTTTGTAGATAAGTTGTGTTTATATAGCTGAGCATAATGTATATCGTCAGCAGTCGACCGATTTGTGAAATATACCAGCTTTGCGAGTGTTAATTGTGTTAAATGTAAGTCCTATTATTGTTTATTTTCACGTATTATAATAAAAATTAAACCTAGAATATGGTTTTATAACTGTTCTAATTATTGCAACGTTTTTTGGCTTTATGATAAACGACTTGTCTATGTTTCTAGTTCCTGCCGGAGCAAAGATGAAAAATAAAGTTTCTACGAATATCAGTGACCATTATAAACAATTTTTTGTTAGAAGTTATTAGTCATACGCTATACTTATATAGAGTTCTATTAAACTTCTCTTTTTTATATAGTTTTTAGCTTAGTTTTCTTTTGTAATCTGTGAAATATAGTAATACAATTTATTATGACAGGTAAAGGTTTTATTCTATTGTGTAGAGAAAAAACGGTAAAATAAAATAACAACACGTTCATTATGTGTAACAAGTATAACTATTTTAGATATTATTTACATAACAGTAGATAATAGATACACATATATTCTTTATTTATCTACTAGTCATTAATACAATGTCAAGTATACTTTGACAAAATATAAAAAGGATTGATATTTTGTCAAAATATTTTGCATACATAAACATATGTAAATAAATATATGTAAAGACAGATTACTCTATTGTGTAGAATAAAGTACAGTAAAATAAGATAACGAAGTGCTGATCATCTGAAATAAGACATATATTTCTTTGTTTACACATTTCGTAACGAAAGCTTTATAAAATCGTGCATATTCTCCTTTATTATTATTATTTTACCTTGCCAGCACCCTCTATAGATGCTACATATACTCCACCAACAACTAGAGTAAAAGATTTAGTGCCTCTTTGCAATAGGAATAGTATCAACTTTTGTATTTTTAGAGGAGCTTTGTACCACTGAATGTTGTACCTACAAACAGAAGAAAAATCTGTAAAAAAAAAAAAAAAAAAAAAAAAAAGAAATACAGTTTTACACATCTTGTTAATAGCACTTGTTAAGTGATTTCACAAACACATACATAATATCTAAAGATCTATCATTTAAAAGTAGAGTGTTTTATGTCTACGGAAAATCTCATATAGTTAATAAATATATATATATATATAATCTAGTTTTCAAGAGACAATATATATAATTACAATAATAATATATATTATATATATGATATATACGCAAAAACTGAAAAAACAATCTTTTATGACTATATTATCATCTTTCATGACTATATGATCATCTTACACAGATATAAATAAATCATTGTTATTATCTACGACTTCTTGTACTGAATAGTTACATATCATTGAGTAAAGAAACATAGGAATTACACATATAAAATGTATTAAAACTTCTTCAATATTATCTCCAGTTACCAAAGCCTGAAAAAGCTAACATACATAATTATATTATTTGGTTAGAACGATTAATTAAAATATATCTTATACATATACATGCGGTGCATATATGAAATATTACGCACTTTGTAAAACTTATTTGCAAACAAAACTTACCGAAAATAAATTTAAGCTCAAACCTGTCACAAGAAATGTTATTAAACAGAGAAATGATCTTTCAAAGTTAGACATTAAAACTATGCAGAACCTGTACGAAAGAAAGGGAAAGAAACTGTTGGTATATGTATCGTGTGTAAACATTTTACAGAATAGAATAAATACCAACTCCATCGCTTTGCGATGAATATCCACTGCACAAGCTATCCGTTTACAGATTACAGTTGCGTTTTCCAAACTGTTTTTTGACTGATCAATTGTTTGCTGGAAACGATATCTATAAATAATACTTTTGTTATAGTATACACATATAATATAATATATATATATATATATTGTGACATAGCTAAATATATAAATAATATAAGAGAAAATATATGTTATTATTAGTTATATATTATGTTACTGAATTTATAGTTTTTGTCACATTTTAAAATAACCATGAAAAAGTTTTTCAAACAGTACATAATTATTATATTGTTTTATATTTATGCTTACCGGGCAACGCTAATTATTCCACAGGCATATTTGAAATATGCTATTAACATTGTTCCTGTTCCTACCAGTGCAATCGCCCCTATGCATACAGCAGCCCCCGTGTGCAAGAAAATTAAATACCAATATTTCTCTTGCTCGAAAAAATAATGGGTTACGATTGGTAATACGATACGTCGAGATTCGTTCATAGATATATCAATATCAAAAATGCTTGGCCATAATATCATAAAAAAACCACAAAATACACAGACTAATGTAAGCACTAAACATAAATTTGAGAAACACATTCATATGAAATATAAGTCGCTATTTACTAACAATTAAAAAAATAGAATTATATTTAAAAGTACTAGGTCTTTGGTCGTAATCTTGCAAGACGTTTGATAAAAGTCAATTGTTTGTTTGCTTACATATAAGTCTAGATGTAAAACGTTTTGTCATACTTCCGTAATGTTTTATGATAGCAATTTCATTCTCATCTTTAAGATTATTGCAAATGTTTTTGATATAATCTATTAAATATTTCACCTAAGCAACAGCAATTTTATGTTTTAAAGTTTGTGGAAAATGAGAGTACAAAATTATACATATAGTTTATACAAAAACTCGTTTAGTAAGCATAAAATATAAAAATTTATTTACAGTGTGAGAGTGTATCATAAACAAGTTGTACTTGAGTGCAAATACACTGAAACATACTGCGACAGAAAGACTTTTTAAGGCAAGATTAAACGTACATTCTGAAGTCAGAAGTACTGTCAGCTGTGAGAATATAAATTTCTTATTAATGTTATTTAACAAATAGCTTTTCTTACTTGATAAAAACGGAAATTTTATGTTAAACTTTTTTTTGAATTATATATACATACAATTTTACTACTACGCTTATCGTTTTTTTTTTTTAATTTATAGTTGGCCATATTATACCTAATATATTAATTTTGTGTTACTTATTGACATACCTGAGATATAATGGAAGTAATTAGAATGGTGAACATCAAAATACATTGTACTTGAGTGAGTAGTGAGCGATCGTAAGGCCATACACCAATCGCAAGTAACAAAATTCGATTAAGTCTTAAGTGATCGGTTTCTATACGAATCATTTCTGTTTGAACATCGACGTACAATTTACAAAGAAATTTTGAAAGTACATATGCCACATATGCCAAATAGATATGCCATTTTTTCAACCGTCGGTTGAATGTTCTCTTTTTTTCCGTAAATTTTATTGTAATTGTAACAATAGCTTATTTTAACTTTGAAGTATTAACTTATAAGTGAGAATGCAAACATTTGCTCTCAATTTGATACGTTCCATTGAAAAAATGATAGTCAATTAAGTGATCGATTTGAGGGTGAAAGAACCTCACCGACTATTTATTTCTCACGCAATAAAAACTTATAAAATATTACCTCTACATACTACGCGCAAGCGTAGTCAGTTTTTCAATATTGCAAGGTGTCAGTTGCTTCAGTCGACTACGTGCATGTGACACGCATGTTTTACGATGAGAGAAACATGATGATCGGTCTGCATTCGCTCGCGTGTTAGTGATAAAAAATATTCTCAATATAATAATAGATTGATATAAAGTTCATTGCGTAAAAGTAGTAACTCTTTCACAATGCTCGAAAGAAAAAGTGACAAGAATATTTCCTAAACTACTTTCTTGATTTTTTCAATAATCTAAGTAAATATTGGGTATCACATTAGGACAAAACCTTTCAAACTTTTCATAACTCAAGAATACTGTTTTAAAGTAATTAATCACAATTCATTACTGTTTATTTTACATTTTTATTTTTGTGAAGAGAAAGATCTATTATTTTATTTATAAAAGCTGTTTTTTATGAATATTTTAAAGACATGAAATTACAAGTGTGTGTATTACTTTTTGTAGTATGAAAACAATATAAGTAGTAAACCTTCCAGAACTATATTCGAGATAGGAAATCAAAAAACTAAGAAAAAACAGTACGCAAAGTCTGTGAATGCTTTTTGAAGATTTGGGGAAGAGAAATTGACTACTGAACATATAGATTTGCGACTTTGAGTTAGAAAAGAAATGAAATAGAAAATTACTGTGTTAATTGTAGCGAGACAAATGTTTTTTTTGCAAAAAACTGTTTAACTATGTCTGATCGGGTAACAAACAAGTTTACAAGGAGAATCTTGCAGAGAATTTTATGCTTGGCTGCGTACAGCGCATATTGTTAGCAGCAATTAATTTGTGAGATGTTAGTTTTACATTATGTTGAACGTTATTAGCCATAGAACGTATAGGTTCTATAAGAATTCTCTTTACATCAAATTTCTTTTACTATTACAATCTTTGAAGTCAACATATTGTAAGACAATTTATGATTTCACACGTAATAAATCTATTGTGTAGAATAAAGAACGGCAAAATAAGATAACGATGCGTTCATCAGCTGTAAAAAAATATACTTTTTTGGATTATTTAAAAAAACACTAATAAACATATAGACACTCATATTTTCTTTGGCCACATATTTTACCTTGGCCATATTTTCAAACGATCCTGTAACTATTTTACCGAGATGTAAGGTGAAAGATTTCGTTTTCCTTTGCAGCAGAAATAGTATCATTTTTTGTATTTCTATAGGACTTCTGTACCATTGAACGTTGTACCTACAAATTGATTAAAAATCTATGTAAAAGAAGATTAAAAAGATTTATTATTAATTTATTTGTGACTTTTGATAAAAGTAATGGATTTGGTTTAAAACATATAACAAAATTATATTGTTTTCTCATAACATATACTTTTAAGTACATATATAATGTTGATATTATAATAAAAAAAATATATATCTTCTAATAGAAGATATATATAATACTCTAAATATATACTCTAATTACTATTAATTATTATATACAACTTTTTTATTACACAGTGAATATTCTATATGATATTCTTACACGGTCACAAACACATCGTTATTATTATCCGTAATATCTTGTGATATATAGTTGGCTAGAAACATATATATAAGAACAGAAGCAATAAATATGAGATGTATTAAAAGTTCTTTGATGTCATTTCCACATAATACAATCTGACAAACCTAAAATACAAACATACGAATAAAAACTTTTCTTCTTTTTAATTTAATATACAAATAATTTTCTTTGTATGATTTTTAGAAGTATAGGATACTTTCTACATTTTACACACATACGTACATATATACGTATATATGAAATATGGCGCACATTGTTTCGAACTACGTAGTTTATTTTTAACTCACCAAACACATGTTCAAGCTCAAATCTGCCACGCAAACTATCATTAAAAACATTAACGAACCTTCGAAATCAGATACTAAAGTTGTGGAAAACCTTTAAGAAAATAAAATTGTGTTGATATATATTGTATGAAAATATTATCGGATAAATACTAACTCCATAGCTGTGCGATGAATGATCACGCCACTAGCTATCTGTTTACAAATTTCACTTTTATTCCCGATATTAGTCTTTTTCAATTTATCAATTGCCATTGCCTGCTGGATACGATAACTATAAATTACAATCATTACATACAGTATATTTACATTTTGCTGTAATTTCATATAATTTCTTATCACATTATGATGATATCTATATACATGTACTGGCTAAATATAATAAATATGTTTTCACAATAATTCATTCTTCGCGGACAGACATGGGTCACTCAGATCTATTCAAACATTGCGATATCTCTAATAAAACTTAGTTTTTTTTTTTTAACGCTTATATCTTCAAAACTGCTAAAGATTTTTTCAATTTGTTTTTTACGCAGAATTGTTCAAACTTTCAATTCATAAAGTTGAAAAAATATTGATTTTTCGCAAAGATATTTAATTTTAAAGTCGCGCGGGTCTCATGCAGGCTCAGTCTGTAGGTCATTTTTGAGATCTGTCCACGAAGGGATAATATTTGTAGTATATTTTTGTATATATATTCACCTCACAATACTAAACATTGCACAGGCGTGCTTGAGATAAGTTATTATTATACTTCCTGTTGCCATTAACACAATTATCCCGATGCAAAGAGCAACGATCATGTGCAACAAAATTAGATAAAAATACTTCTCTTGATCGACAAAATAGTATGTTACAATTGGTATTGCAAAACGTGGTCGAGATTCGTTTGCAGGCAGAATATTGTCCAGTAAGTGCGGCGAGATTGGTAGCAAAATAAGAAAACATACAGAAACCAGTGCAAGCACTGAGCATAGAAAATACTCATATAATAATATAATATAATTTTCTTATTAAAATATGTTTGTAACAAAAGACTTATTTAATTGTTGACTATTTTCAAATAAAAGGTATGTTTTTTGATAGAGCATGAATTCTATCACAAAAATGCAATAAAATATATTGTATCATTATTGTGCAATATTTGTCTGTTTTATCTTGATTAATATTATTTATAAAGAGATACTAATAATATAATTAAAAAATTGTCTTACGTAAAAGCCTAGTTGTGAAAAGCGTCGCGTCGTTCCCGTATTGTCTCATAATAGCGATTTCGTTCTCATCTTTGAGCTCGTTACAAATATGCTGAAGATGTTCTAGTAAATATTTCACCTGATATATAGTAAATAATAACATATTATGTTGGGCTTATATTGCAATTTTAAAGATGTGTGTGTGCACAATATGTTAAATACAAAAACACTAGTTTTTATATTTGCTGTTTTATAGTGTAAATTGACTCACAGCAACTTACAGTGCAGGAATTTATCATAAATGCGATGTATTTAATCACAGGCAGAGCAAAAGGTAATGCACAAGAAAGAATTTTGATGATACGATCAATCTTATATTCTGAAGTCCAGATTGCTGTAATCTACTTGTAAATAGATTTATTTATATAGTTATTATTCATATAGGTGTAACAACTTTGATACGTTTTATATATATGTGTACGTATATTTGTATAGTGACATACTTGAAATACAACGGAAGCTATCAAGATACTAAAAATTGAAATAAACTGTATTCGAACAAGTAGCGACCGCTCATAAGGCCATAAGCCAACTGCGAGTAACAGAATTCGATTAAGTCTAAAATTCTCGTTTTCTACGCATATCATTTTTTTCGAATATCGAAACGGGTTTTACCGCGAGACAATTACGAAAATTGCACGTATCCTTTTGTCGGCACACTCAATATAAACACTTTTTTTTTTCCTTTTATTGTAAATTACAACATAAGTAGAGGGAGAGAAAGAGCACAATTCAGTAAAAAAAAATTAAGTATCAACGTGAGAATGTAGCACCTGTTCTCAAATTGATGCGTTTATATTCCAGATGTGAGACTATTATGACCAGATGTAGACTACTATGCGATCAATATGACTCTTTGAAAGAGAGACGTGCGAATATTTATTTTTCAGAAAAGACCCTCTGATGTAATAATCTCTAAATATACTGCGCAAGCGCAGTCGTTGTTTTTCAGATCCGCATAATATTAGATACTGCAGTCTGCTACACGCATTCATCGTGTGATCTTTGAGAGTAATAAAACCAATACAGTGATACTTTAATTCATTTTACTCAAAAATAAAGAATAGAGATATACATATTTATTTGTGGATATATTAATTTTTTTATTATATATATTGTGTTTATTTTTAATACGAAATAAAAGAATACTAGAAGTTATTAATATATCAATGAAGATATCAAGGTAAATACACAATAAAAAAAACTATTATTGTTGCCTATACATAAAATATGAATATAATATTTGTACCATATACGTGTTTTACTGCGTATACTTTCTTTCGATCGTATAAATATATATATTTTTTTTACACAATTTTTATTAGACAGTCAGTCTTTCGCCTTCATTAAAACAATATTTCTTTAACTTGCTTACAATTTAACTGTTTAAAAAGTTGTAAGTTATCCGGTTCTACCTGTCGAACAACGCCCATAGTAATTTAGAGTCACATCTGTAAATATAAAAGATTAATATTTAAAAAAATTATCTATGCTAATGGGATAATATCAGAATTATAAATTTTTTTACGTTTAGGTAAGAATTTTTGTCTAAGTACATGTACTATGTTGCAAGTTATGAAAAAGAACAACTTTTTGATAAATATAAGTTTTTCTTTTTTGTCTTATAATGTTAATATTACTTTGCTAAATAGATAACATCGCTCTATAAATTAGAATAATACGCGTACATACATGCGTGTGTGTACGCGCACGATAGAAAATCATTTTGTTACGTGATATCTTGTTTTAACATTTTTGTTATTATAATATGTAAAATTATTTTTAACATATAAAAGTTTGAGTAAAAAATACGTTAAATTATAAACTAAGTTAAACAATAAACGTAACAAACTTTTTCTCTTAGAAAAAATTTATTATATCTTACCTTTTCCACATCTTTGAGCACAGCCTAGTCCACCTGGATTCGTGTAATCAGCATTATCCGTACCGCAGACAGGATTATATTCATTTGTTACCTAAACACATAATGCACTAATGTATTTATGAATATTTGCACATATAAAATATATATTTTATACATCAATTATTAATAGATATACTATAGAATTAATTTTTGATATAATCACTATTTATCAATAGTTACTTCTTTTTACTTTAACTAATCGTTTTTTGATCAATAATTAAAAATAATGTAATAAGATTTTATATTACATGTGCTTACTCGTACGATCTTTTCTGCGTACAATATCTTGTTTTGTTTGTTTTATAATATATTTTTCTTGAGTATGTAAATCATATATATATCTGTGATGCTGATTATAGTAAGAAGAAAATTATTACCGGACAAGATGCTACGCATACGTCATATGGAGCAGAAGATACAATAGTACTACTAGCGGTAACAGTAGTAGTAATAGTGGAAACAGTAGTTGAATTACTCAAAGTAGTAGCTGCTGGTCCGTCAAAAAAAAAACCATCTACTCGGGTCATTGTATTCTGAAAAATATTTTGAATTATAAAGTAATTTTTAAAAATTACTTAAAGAATTTACTTCTACTACCATCTTTGGTTAAATGAGAAAAAGAGGCTGTATGGTCATCATATTACTTTGCTTTATTTTGTTTTATTGATTAAGGCCTGTTTCAAATTTGATTTTGAATTATATAAATAATATATTTTTTTTTCTTGAAAAACACAATAAAAGGAAAGAGTCAAAATGAGTTTCTTGTTTTCAGAAGTAAACATTTTTTTAAATAAATATCTGAAACTCGTTATTCCACGAAAAAATATTTCAATTAGCAATAGCTTATATTTTTTCTTAATGTGCCCCTTTTTCTCTTTCTCTGCTCTATTTATTTTGCTGTTAAATAATTGCTTACTTGTGGTAGTCCAACGATGACAGCAGGCAATGCGGTAACTGTAAAAATCATTAAAATCATTATTATTAAAATAGTCACAATATTATAAGAAAATATATAAACTTAATACAAGGCAGTCGTAAACAAAACACGTATAAAATAATTTCTTACCTAGTATTAAGTAAAATAACATTTTCTATATTTAGGATAAACTATCGCAGGTTCCGATCCGACTACAAGCGTAGCGTTCGCTACGTTCGCTTTTATAATACTGGTTGCCAAGCTGTGTAAGGCTGTGGTACTGGTTTGTGGGAGTCCCACGCGAACGTCACCACTACAAATGATGTAAATTGAAAACATAACCATTTTGCACATCCGACTAGACTAGGTGCGGATGGGAGAACTCTTTCTTACAACGTTCTGCCGCACTGTCACTTTTTTGGCACTATTTTATCATGTATGTCCGTGATCTTAGCAAACACATATAATTATAAAGAAATAAATAAAGCCGACTTGCAACAAAAAATTGAATGATGATGCACTTAGTCCGCTCTAGTAGTTCGAAAAAAAACGCTATGAGCAAACTGGTTTTCCCCAGCGCAACAATGTACATAGATAACACTTATTATATGATAATTATTAAATATTTTGACGATGACTCAGATACTTTTTTTCAGACATTGTTAGCGCACGATAACTTACCTGTTACATATATATAAGACAATTTTTAGAAATTTTTAGAATCAATAAATAATAGATAAGTAAATAATAATGATTAAATTTTTACATACGAAGCATGAACAACAAATTATTAGTTTTATAAAATAAATTTCCTGATGTCATAAAAACTGTTTTTTTTATAATTAACTGTTTCACAATTAAAAAATAAAAACAAGAATTACGATATACAATTTATTTCAGCTCTTAATACATTGTATAAAAATGTCAAAATTATACTGTAAGCGCGCTAATATACATACGTTAGCACAAAATTTAGCTTCTTGACCGTATTAGCATGAAGTTTTTATTGCATATGTATGTCTATAAAATAAAGAACATTGTATTATCTTATTGTACGAAGAAGAAAAATTACAGAAATTGTGAAATAAGTTAGGTGTTTTATATTATAATTTGTCTTTCTCTCTTTTTCTCTTAAACAGTGTTAATTTAAAAATATTTACCTATATTATGTTGTAGGCTATATTTTTTTATAAAAGCAATGCATAAAAGCGATGATAAGTTATATTCAAACTGCTGATAGTTGACTGTATGGCTCGCAGGCTCTTGTTATTCTTATTTCAAGTTCTGAAAACCAATGTTGAATATAACACAATGCGCTTCTCAAAATTATTAAAATAAGGACACATATAAGTTAAATAATCTCTAAAAAGAAAATGTTTTCATTTTTTATGAAAAATGTGTGTAGGATGTTTTCTCACTCTAATAAAAATCACTTTTTATCACCGTCTTTGTTTTTTATCGGTGTGCCGCGAATATTTAAGAAAAGAACAAAGAATGAGTGAGATATATTTTAACAATGTATATTGACAATTTAGATCTTGTTTAGTGCGCAGCGAGAAGAGTGTGAGTCACGCACAAAAGAGTTGAAGAAGTTAGTCTTTCAAATTAGAATATCTGCTTAATATATTGACGGAGAAAACATGTGCTACTTAGTGTGTGTTAAGTAACTACTGTTGTAAAAATAAAGCATTGCGAGATAAAACAAAGCGAAAGATTAATAAGTATAATATCTTACGTGGATTACAGTTCTTTGCACAATTAAATCTTCCCATGTTCCAGTAAGTAACATTGTCAGAGCCGCACACCGGATTGTACTCTGCAGTAGCGATACACGGACAATTAGATGTTGTTTCTTGAGTGTTGTTGTTTCCATCCGACACATTGTTTAAGACATCGAAAATGTCGCTCGACCAGTCTCGTTGCGGGAATGCCAAGGCGACCAACCAAATCAAGGTCAACACTTGCACAGCTATCATGTAAAACAGTGTCACAATATAAAAAGTATTTAACTTTACATATACATTTGCTGAGAATGTGAAATCCGGAAATTTTCAAAGTTCAAAATGCGGAATAATATATGAGAAAAATATCTTTTCTACTTTTTTTTACAATAAACAACTTTACGATAACTTTTATATTCAGCACATGTACAAGTTTGAAGATATCTACATATCTTGCAATATTATACATACAGAAATATATCTACAAAAGAAACATAGATATTTTTGTTTAGATCTGTATACTTACTTGCAAAAATATATTTCATGATTGTTTCTGCACGAATCTCGCTTCAAGAATTAAAGAAAAAAGGATTTTAACACTTAAGTGATATGCGTGACTGATTCGATTGTAACTACGGTCTTCGGCAAACTGTTTCTTCAATTTATATTTTCAGTCGTTCTTATCTGTTTCAATTTGTTTCCTTATATAAGAGAAAAATGTCAAAAGATGCATTACACAAGCGATCGGAATATCCGTCTTGCGTATTCTCTCGTCGCATTAATATCACTATAAAATATCAATTAAGAATTTAATGCTTATAATTTTGTTAGAATGTGATTTTTTTATTGCTGAATTTAAAAAAAAAAGTTAAAGTTGTTTATTTTTATGTTGTATTATTTTGATGTATAAAGCGTTTATTTCTTTTAAGTTTAGAACAGTCAAAACTCGTATTTTTTTAATCATATATATTTAAAACTTTTTTTATTCTTTTGTAGTTTCTCGAGTTGTACTACACACTTCTTATTTTTCACTTTTTTGTATACATACGTTAATTTTATCTATTATAATTATTTTTTACGTTTTAGGTCGTCATTTTTATGTTTATAATATTTTACCGCAATAGTCGTTATTTTCTATTTTTTCTTTACTTACATATCGTATCAAAAATTGTTTGTTGAAAATCACATTGTAATTCAAAGCGCTTGAATAAATAAACGCGTATGTTTTCGGAATATATAACAATTAGCTTCTTCAACAAATTTGTTGAAAAGTGTAGAGAAGATAGAAAGTGATAAATATGACCGCTGTAGATAACGTGACCTCTCGTCTCAATATCTTTACTATTAGATGACGAATTGCAGTAATCGCTTGTGGCATCGGTAATTTATTAGTTATTCTGTGTTACGCATTGTCGTTAAGACTGAATACACACACTTGCAACAGTCATTATGACATTGAATTAAATTAGCACTTGCAACAGAGAACATAATTCAGAGAACTGACACCGTTGTAGAAACCATCAGTTGGGAGTAATGTTATACGTACATGTTAGAGAAAAGTTGTTACTCGAATGTCGTCGCGAACAAGAATATTCTTGCGTCCAACTATGTTGTGGCAGTTGTGAACTAATACTTAATATGGGTAGACGTGTGCGTGTTGTGTTACGATTATTTGTTTTGAAGTTTATTCAAACGACGCGTAATCTCACGGTGTAACATCTTTTGACGTGACGCAAAAATATCGAAGAGTAGAATGAAGTGTAATTTTTCCGCGAACATTTATGTTTGGTTACATTTAAATGTTTGGTGCAAAAGTACAGGACAGCGTCTAAGTATATTGCGTTGGCTTACGCGATGTCGTTGCAGTTATGATGTTGCAAGTGTGTACCCAGCCTAACATGCCGATAATTAATACGTGGTATAATTTTATTATAACGCATTTTTACTTTGAAATATTTACAAGCATTTTCAAGGCAAAATTCAGTACTTATGTTTCAGTGTTCTTAAACTTCGGCTTTTTTGAGTCTAAAATCTGTCACCATACACTTGTCAACACTTTGAAGAATGTAACCGTTCATAAAAAATATCAATTAGTAACGAAGTTATTGCACAAGTTGTATAAAAAATGTGAATGAAGAGTCATATTATCACCTTTTCCTATATATACGATAAAAACAATTACTAGGCTGATCATTATGGTAACATTTTCCTGTTTGTTCAATGATTTCAGAGATGATTTGAGGAATCTGGTCTGTTGAGGTAGATCTGAAATATGTACATCATCATATACATTAATACCTGGGTAATGTATTCTATAACAACACCTTTACCATTTACATACTATAATAATAATCACTTGTTATAGCATCTGTTTACCTTCTATGCTAAATTGTCTCATTTTATAGTGTGTTTACATTGAATTATATATTATAGTGTTCCAGTATTCGAGTATAAAAATACCGTTTCCAATATATATATCACTACATAATATCTTCATATTAATAATATCATCAAATACTTTTACACTAATTCTAACATCTTTTTCAGACATTTCTGCATTTTAAAAACTATTGCTTGAAGTTTAAAATTCACAGATTGTTTATTCCTGATTTTTCGTATTTCATTTGTAATTCACGAATTTTGGAACACTTTGTATGTATGCATGTATGTTTTTTTGTTTGTGATTACAAACATGTGCCCGTAAACCTGCATGTATACGTATGTATATGTTTGAAATAACAAAGTAGAATCTACATCAAATATCTCGATTCAAAAACCAAAAGCGTTTGTCTCTGTTATTTTCAGGAGATGTTGCAACAGTCTTATGTATCACATGAAAAGGATTTTAGTTAATTACAAATACTAAAAAAATTCTGTTTCTGTAATCATTCGCAAAACAATATGTTAATATTATACGGAAACTATTATCCACATAATATTCCTACTATATATATGTGATTATGTCTCTTGTTTGTTTTTTTGTTGCTATATATTGTACGATATCTTTACAATTTTGCTGACATAAATTTTTTTTCCATTTCTTCGTTTGGCACTGACGTTGCTAGTCACTTCTTCAATACATTGTTTGCTTCGGCACGTTCCTCTTCTAGTTCCTTGGATGTAATCTCCAACTTTGATACGGCAAATGGACTAAGTGGAAGATTCTGAAAATAAATTGTTTTATGTTTTGTTTTTTTTTTTTTTTTTTTGTTTTTCATTTCTTACGTGTGAAAATGCGAATCACTGCATTTCGGTAATATGTAAATATATTAACATTCAACACTTTAGATTTTCAAAACTGTTTACAGATAGAGGAAACACCTAAAATCTTGTGTATGTGTGTGAGACAGTAATGTATCTAAGCTTTTAAATATTTTCATGATAACTTACTTTCACAATTTCATACTGCTTGTTCTTAACAGTAACAGGGAAGGAAAACACGATATCTTTTGGAATTCCGTAACTTCCGTCGGATACAACGCCCATGCTGACCCATTCTTTGGGCTTGGTTCCAAACCACCAATCTCTCATGTGATCTCCAGCAGCTTTGGCAGCCGACATGGCGGAAGACATTTTTCTAGCGGCTATTACAGCAGCACCGCGTTTTTGAATCGTTTCTACAAAAGTAGTGTTTAACCATTCGTCGTCTTTAATCTCAGCTGGTACTGGTTTTGTTCCAGATGGAAGCTCCACAGTCGCATGTCCTGCATCAGGATATTGCGTAGAGCTGTGGTTACCCCAGATAATGACATTCTTTACTTTATCAACCTGTTACACCAACAGAACAAATAAAATACATTCTTTTGTATTATATTGCTAAATAAGAGTAAACTTCAAGTATAAAAAAACATGTCTGCAGGAAATTTACAGATGTTTAAAAACACTATCGATTTTCAAGAGTCTCAACACAATATCTTTTACCTGAACTTTCAATCGAGCTGCTAGTGCCGCTTGTGCTCTATTTTGATCCAATCTAGTCATTGCAGTGAAATTTTCTTTTGGAATAGACGGTGCATAATGCGAACAGATAAGCGCATTGGTGTTAGCTGGATTACCTACAACTAGCACCTTGACATCCTTGCGAGCGTATTTATCTAATGCTTCACCTTGCACCTTAAAAATTTCCACATTTGCAGCCAAGAGATCCTTACGTTCCATTCCTTCTTTTCTTGGCATTGCGCCAACCAAAAAAGCGGCTGCGACGTTATTAAAGGCCTTGGCAGGCTCAGCTGTTGGCACAACTTCTAGAATTTTGAATTCCACTCATGAACGTCATACTCATCAGAAGAGGTAAATTATCATCTTATATATAGCACAATTACATAATGTATTTTAAGTCTATATATATATATATTTTTTTTTTTTTTTCTATACCTTGTAACAAAGGAAGAGCTAGATCTTCCAGTTCCATAACAACACCATTCAATACTTTCATCATAGGTGGGATATCTAATAACATAAGATTAACTGGCTGTTCTGGTCCAAAAACTGTACCAGCTGCGATTTGGTATAAAAGAGAGTAGGCAATTTGCCCAGCAGCACCGGTAACAACGACATTTATAGGTTCAGCCTTAAAAAGAAAAAAATATATAAGAAGTGTTGGTTTTAAATTTATGTTTTTTCTTCGAGAATAAAAACATATAATAAATATAATAAATTATGTTAAATATAACACATGTGTGATAACTATATGATAATAAAAAAAAATTCGAAACATTGATTCTTGTATACGCGTAACTATTTTGTTCTTAAAAATAGCAAGTATGTGTATGCGAGTACAGAGTTGAGAATAATATACATTTGCAATTTCTTATTTTTCCTACACACAAAATTACGTGTCGTGTATATAAAATAAGCGATTTATTTAAAAAAAATTGTAAATATATATTAAACACGCAAAATTATTGAAAAAACATATAGATCGAATGATAGAATGATTTTAATTGAAGGTCAAAGTAAGGTGAAACTGATAAACCGCCATGTAAATTACTTCTGTTCACAAATTGTCTAAACTACTGTATAAAACGTTTAAGCACTTACCATTTTTCTCTCTCTCTAACAATGTATCTTTTCTATTAACAAAAAAAATAAAAAAATTGATATATCTCGATTAGCTAAAATATACAGTCGATCTGAAGAAAATGTGTAGACGTAGATAATTCTACTCTACTCCTCAATGAACTATAGTATCGACTGGAAGTGGACTGGAAACAGGGCTGTCACACTATCGTAGCTCACTCATTGTCGGTATCTTTGATGTGTAAAGTCCGCATCAAAGAACGCATGCGCGAAATAAGAACTAGACACACGCTCTTCCTCTGCAACACAGGTGCAGATAGTGAAGGAATTGATCTCTTCATTCTGAATAATCTGTTGCTGTATCCACATTGAACACTTTAGTTATTTGTTGTATCTATAGTTATTTGTTGTATATGTTAAAATAATCTCAATGTCTTTAGTATATAGATAAGAATAATGTTCCAAAAATAAAATAACAGTATACATACGTATTTTTATTTTTATTTGCAATGTGGAGTTCTAATTGTCCCACATAAGGAAAATATTTGTTATAACGTTAAAAATGGAGGAATTCCACTTTACACATTGTTGCAATTGACCAATCATAAAAGACGATGGAAAACTTCTACTGGCCACATTGTGAATCCTACTGTGGGCAACTATACGCAAATATGCGCCGCTCGTATATAAAATAAATTCATCCTTGCAAATCGATATGTTATCAAACGAAAGATTAAAATATGTAAGGTTTTGTGTGATTTACAAAAGATTGCGCTAAATGAAGTTTCTTAATTATTTCAGGTGTGTAATTGTGTAACCTGTCTTATCGATATAAGGCAAATTTAAAATCAATGAATGGAAAGTAAGTATTTTATCTGCAACAATTATGGTATGATAAATAACGTTGCTTTTTATTTTCTGATATATATATCACAATCAATACATACAGATGCATATACAAATAAAAATTATTATAAAAATTAAATAAAACCAGTTTAGCTTTAATATTGTTTTAAAGATCTATATATATTATTAGATATATTTTTAGTTATGGGTATTAATTTTTTATTTATATAGTCAATGTCACATTGACGACAATTAAATATGTTAGTCGTTTGCAGATGAAAGGTATAGAAGAAAGAATAGAAGGGAGAGATGAGAAGACAAAATTTTTTGGCAAAATATTTTTTAAACTTTCGCCAGTGTTGAATCTGATAGCTCGAGATAGTAATAGTGATGATGTCGCTTTTCGATTAGTATTAGTAGAGATGGTATGTGCACTAAGCATCTCTCATGAGTGACCGCCTCGTACGGTCAGTCTCGTATTACGTCTGGACTGGCTGGAACGACAACACGACGGTGCACATCGGGTGACACAATATCCGAAACGAGGCGTTTCTTCTTTTCAATAGAGATCTGCATATTACATCGGTACAGCATTTTTATTATTATTTTTGTATCGTTTTTTTATATTATTCATGTTATAGTTACTATGGTTAGAGTATTGCGCGCGTAACATTTCAAAAACATATCATTCACCGATATTGAACACCCGTTGTGCAGGAGATCGACGCACACTTTGACAGAATCACGTACAGGCAACCGTCTTATTATGGATATGTGATGCAAACATAGGTAGCAAAGTGTAAACCATTATTATTTTTAGCCAGACATATAATAGAGGAGGTTTGATTGGAGTTTACCAAAGAACAGTAACACAATAGCTGGCGTAACCGAGATCATATTTATTTTATTTTTTATTTTATTTTATTTTTTTTTTTTCGTCTCGTTGAACAGCAATTATATTCGCGAGCAGTTTGGAATTTGTTTGCAATTTGAGCGAACATTGATACAATACGCAACAGGAAAATACAATGGAATAACGGTACTGAATTATATTGTGAAAGAAAATTATAAATAGTACGCCGTATTGTGTGTAAAATCATTTGTGATTATCGTTAAAAAAAATATCACAGACATTTTGTAATATATACACGATTGTATCTCGAGCCACGCGTGGCAAGTTTTAATTTACGAAACGATAAGTCAAGTTTGATAGAATGAGTAGAATAAGCGGAACTTAATATGACATTTGACATTTAGCAAAGCGTATTATTTGCACGATATTTAGTCACATGTTCATAATGATCGTTTGTACTTTCAAATCGTGTATGTATACACATACACGACATATATGTATAGTTTGAAATTGTAAGCACTGTTATTTAACACTAACCAACGATTGTGAATATATGTGTATACATATATATACGATGGTGTGAAACTTGGTACATCACTGTTGATACGGGTGGAACGATAGACATAATGTTGTGGGGAAAGACTGACTCGTAAATTTTATCGCATCGCGCGCGTTGAATAGACTTCCCTTTTCACACGTCGTTTAATCACAAAAATAGAAAACACATAATCACTTGTGGCATTTAGGCGGCAGTTACCGTAAGTCTACTTCTAACATAAAGCTATTCCCGTTTGCAACCGCATCACACGATCTGAACCTCGGCTAACATTGTACACATACATATATCTCATTAAATGCATGAAGAAAGAAGATAATGTGGTAACTGTATTTGCAGCGTATAAGAGAGGAAGGAGGAACAACGCTTTTATCTCTAATCTCTCTTTGGAATTGTCATTAAGATGTGCAATATACGCGCGATACATTCTGTCAAAGAATGAACGGAAGAGATTCCGTAGAAAGCGGAGAGGAGTCAGGAACATCATCCAAACATCGGGAATCATTTGTACTCTGTCAGCGCAACATGGTTCTCTACATATTTTTAACTTCCTCTTGCAACATATCCGAATCCCTATCGCGAATCGCGTGGAGAGATGCAGCACATGCATTGTGGGATTCACCCCGCATCAAACTCGCGGAGAAAATGGCGATAAGGGGAGTGAAGGGAAAAGCCAGGAGGGGGTTGTATCGGTGTGATAGAGCAAGAGAAGACACTCTGTTGCACAAGGGACGGTGGAGCAAGGGGAAGACGGTGGTTGTAGCGAGACGGTAGTGAAAGAGAAGGAGGATAGTGGTGGAGAGCCGCAGGAGGGAGAAGGGGTGAGCGACATTCCAGAAGGCGGCGGCGGCGGCGGTTCTCGTGGGAAACCAAAGAGAGAGAGAGGAGAAAGATCTCGTCTCGAGGAGAGGTTGCGGGCCTTAAGGCACCGTTCTCATCTCCCGACGTGTGACAAGAGCGCGGAGGCTTCTGCCGAGAGAGCCGAGACTCTCTGTCCCGCGCGAGAGTCTCACCGAATTTATAATTTTCGTTCGAAAGCGCGTACACGAGACATTTCTGGATTGTTGCAGATTTGAAGATATTTCAATTTGTGTGTGAAACATTATTTTCACTTCCTATACGATTATCTTGCAAATTCATTCAGGATTTACTTTTTATCTCTCACATGCTTTTAGTTGTAAAAAAAATGATTCTTTGAGATATTTGCGTTTAAAGGGATGTTACTCCATGTAAGGTCGTAGGAATTACAAATGAAGCTGTCAATGTGAATCAATTGCTCAATATTACTCAAAACGTAAATCTTAAATATTAGAAACGGCATTAAAAATAAGATATATTTTTGTGAGCAATATGTAACATAGATATTGTATCTAATAATATGTGTGTACGAGGTAATTCGATACGATTAAAAAATGATCGAAGGCAACGTTTAGATCTATTTACAGCAATAAGCAATGATGACGCAATGAACTTTCATGTTTACGTTCTTTGTTTCACGCGATTGATTGCTGCATCATATGCCACGGTTATCGCAACGACTCAATGTAATTTGATTACCACACTGCCAATATCGATAACTTATAGTCATGATAAAGAAAGTCGGTCTTTTATCGTAGAAACGCTTAGCAAAGGCAAATCAGGTAGATCGATGATATCTCGACCGTAATCCAGTGACAAAAGCTTTTTCGCGACGTTACAATACGAAGCAACGATCGTTATTGATTCTTCGATCATTTGCTTAATATTGTCTGTTTAACAGATTTGTTTTATTATGACCGATTAAGAAGTTTTTTTATTCGCAATATAACTTAGAATAAGGACACAGAGAACGGAACCTGTTATAGGCCTCTGTGAATCGGCCCTTAGGGCGAATCCACACAAGGTCTCGAGCAAACTGCTTCCCAGTCGAACGAATGAGTTAAGAGGAGATAATGGCACGTTCACGAGGCGTCGAATCATTATCAATAATCAAACTCTATTTGCGTCGCATCGTTTGCGATAAAAGAATCGTTTCGTAGTCTGGACAGTGAATAAGAAAGAAATTCTCTTATTCAGATTTTTCGCTCAAAAATGTGAACCGAAAGAGAACACAACGTACCAACAAATTTCATTTGACTCTTGTGAGAAGAGATCATTTTATTATGCTTTTCTAATTCTATGTTTGTTAATGAAAAATAACGTGAACTATCGGCAATATATAGATCATTGATCGAACGTATGAAGTTGCTTTAGATATTGCATCGCTTTAATCTCTTTTGACGAGAATCAAAAGCGACAGTGATATTAATCGTAAGAAGCATCGATGAAGCTTCCGCATTTGCATAAGTAAACGAGCGAGAATTCGGATGTTTTTTGCAAAAACATGCGTGTGTCTTGAGTGTCTGGTAACGATGTTCTTATCTTGACGCGCGTCCAGCGTCCAAAACACGCGAATGTCCGACAAGACCGCGTGTGCCCACGACGACAACATGCGCCTTCATTATTATTACCGGCGTTGTAAGTCGACGCGAACATCCGACTGCGCGCAGCAATTACGGCGATAATCGCACGCGACGTTATTACCGGCAATGACATACAAGCACTTGATTTCTGATAAGGAGTGTAACCGACGCGAGCAACACGCGGAAATCCAACACCATTGCAATTAACGGAATACCAACTGGTCGCGAATGTATTCACATGTGTATACATATATCGAACAATTTCATCTCCTGAATCAACATAATAAAACTTGCGCCAGAGATTCAGAAGCTCGCGAATGCTACTTGTACTTGTGAAATTCAAATAATCGATCGACGCCAAGTGATGACGTCCCGAGGAACATACTATATATTTACATATATACATTATATATGTGCACGTATGTATGTAAGACAGAAGAGGCAGGGAGCAGCATCAGGCATGCCGGCCGAGAGATGAGAAGAAAAAGGAGAGAAGAAGGTGGAGAGTTAATTGAATCCGAGCAGCGTATAAGTGGAATGGTCTATTCCTCCTTTGGTGTTCGCTCCTCTTATTCTTCTTTCTTCCCGCGCCCCCTGTTCTCCCTCATCGCCGTCTCTTCGCCCTCCCCCACGGTATCCCGCTCCTCGCGCCGTCCTTCGCAACTCCTTGTACCCTCTTTGGTCGGGGTACCAAGGAGGATCGGTAGAAGGACGCCAGAGGTTCCGAAGAGTGAGCGAGGGGGAGAGGGAGAAGGAAGCATTCCTTTGTCTCTGCGCGCACGGATCTAGATCATATATAGTATATAACACGTATAATGCGCAGAGGCGAGCATACGGACGCGTGATATGCGTGTGCACACCCGAGCCAGCATCGACGTAGCACACGTGAAACAACGTGCGCAGACGTGCACGTGCGGCTTTCAAAGGGTTCTGCCGCGATATTCCCTCCGGCCATCTCGAGGTGGTTCTTGTCTCGGACGATATACTCGGTATGAGTTACGTCCGCGTTAATTCGATTTGCCTCGCGTGCATTATATCCACGGGCATGATTATCATTTGAGAAAGGAAGAGATTGAGGAGAGTCGAGTGATTTTCTTCATTGTAATACTGAGCAATATGGATTTTACGAAATCTTTACAGTGTAAAAGAAAAATAATATTATTTCAAAAATATTACAGTATAGCATAAATCCTCTAAAATTAACGTGAAATTTCTGAAGAGATTTAAGTTTACTACGTGACTGTGTTTTTTCCGCATTCGATGTAGATAAAGACGACTTGAAAATTTTGTACTACGTTCAGCCTTTGTCAATGATAGTTGTACCGTCTGCCGCGAATGCTCGTTGGCACCCCTCGTACACACACCAAGTGTATTTGCGTACCCCGAAATAGCTTTGGATCTCCCTGGGACGGTATAAGAGAACGGAGGAGGAGAGCGACGAGAGAAGACGAGAGAAGAGGAGAGAACGGACGGTGTATACCGCAAAACCAGTTCGTTGGTGAGTAAACAAAAAACGAGAAGGGGCCAACGCCGCGGCGCGGCCTCGTTGTCCGTTGCGAAGGGGGAGAGAATCGCTGCTTTATTGCTAATTCGAAGACATTCGCCCAGCAGAAATGAAACTTTATAGTCCGCCCGCAGGCCAGGAGAGGCCTTACGTTGTCAAAACTCACATACGTGAAGACTGATCCACGTGGGCACCAGCTACAACAGGTACGTTCGACGGCGGTTAAAAAAAAAAAGACGTCGGTGAATCGTTGAAATGCATCATTAGATCAGTCAAGATTATCATTCATAGCTGCTTGTGGCGAAAAATGTTTGCGAGCCAATGCGTTGACTCTAACGCTATAAACATTTTCAGTACGGCATCAGGTTTTCAAATTTATGCGTAGTTAAAAAATATTTTTTTTTTTTTTAGAAGAAAAAAGATAAATTTTGCTCTCAGAAGTTTTTATTGTCTTGTAAATACAACTTTTAAGATAGAACTATTTATATATATAATTAATTCACAATGTTTAAATGGAAAAATGTTTTTGAATGTTCACCATGTTACAGAACTAATGTTGAAGAGACCAGCGGGCGATATCAATGAGACGAGTCACAGCGGGTGGTTACATCGTGAGACTCTTCAGACTTCCCGGAGCGTTGCAAAGCTCGTTACATCTCATTACATCCAACAAGTACATAAAAACGCATGATACACGTAATGATCACTTGCCGCGTGAATCATAGTGACCGGAATATTCAGTTATGTCCAAACAATTTTTTGTCACATAATATCATGTATTTTTGTATAAGGATTTTATATTGTTTATATAATTAGAAAGAGTAATAAATATTGGGTGTGTATGTATAACTTTATAATACATTTAGCACCGAATTTTTTCCATGTACAATATAAAAGCTAAACAGTGAGACTCGTGTAATCGTGTAGAGTAGTAAAAAGATAGAACGAACTGTTCATATGCGGCAGTTGTGTAGAGTGTCGTGATTGCGCATTGCTAATGCAGGTAGGTGCCAACATGGAAAGAGAGAAAGAAGAGAGGAAGAGATGTCTGCCGAGGTAGCGGGAGATACGCGTCAGGAGCCCGTCCTCCCCCTAATTGACAAATTGGAATCTTATTAGAAGCTCGTGATGCCGGTAGAGCCGAGACAGGAGGGGCTTTTGGGTTGTGCCGACGTTGCGAGAAAAGGAAGGTGAGAAGAAATAGAAAGTTAGAGAGAAAAGGAAAGACTGGCGGAGGATGCTGTGAAAGACGAGGAGAATGAGAGGCATAATGCGTGGACGGCACGATACTAACAGGTTGTACGGCCCACGGTGGAACGGAGAGAAATACCTTACGTACGGCCTGCTGGCCAGCAGGCGAATGCCACCCAGGAAGCGTTCGCGCGTGCGCGATCTGTGTGGCCTCGGTGCGATTCGACCATCGGGCCCAACCGAGAACGCACGAGCCCGACCGAGATAACGCGAGGATGGCCGAAGCCGACGTGTGCTGGCCCACCCGGTAGAGCGCGCGCGTGCCGCGTCCTGTGTGGTCCCTTGGGCCTCTTGCTGCTCCCGCTCTCTTCTCGTCGTTCCGCAGACCCTTCTCACCCCTCCTTACGTCTCTTCTGTTCACTACTCTTCTCGATGCTCGCTCCCTGAGACGGCTACGTGCGCGCCACTCTCTTTCTCATTTCCTCTCTGCTTTCTCTGTTTCACCTTATGCGTTCACCATCCACGCCGTCTCTTACTTCGGCCCAGGCTGCGAAGATGAGGTGGTTCCGAGGAAGAGAAGCGGGATGCTGACAGTGGCGCGAGTATTGAGGGGCGTAGAAACTCGACAATGTGATAACCATAATAAAACCCATTGTGTGAGATCAATGGTATACAAGAATTGTAACGTCTTTTTTCAACTTTATTTAGAAATCTGTAACTGTACACACGCATTCAATAGGTATATCTTGTTATGAAATAACAAAGAGAAATGAAGAGCTGCAAATTTATTGAAGCTGCGAAGTTAAGATAAAAGTTATTAAGACAAAAGCTATATGTACAATTTGTAATTTGAGAGACAGACATATTTTTTGTGTAATTATCGATTTTTTTAATAAATTCTGTTTCTTTCTCTCTCTTTTCTTCTTCTCTTTTTTCTTTTTCAGTTATTTGTCGTGAATTATCACAATCCGCCAATAATGTTCACGATGAAACTTCCTGAGACCGCGTCATACACAACACAAGGGCTACTTAGAATTCCATCTACGTCATTGGTTGAAGAAGCGAGATGAGGTAGTAAGCCCGCTTGACTCGTTCCATCTCTTCTTTCCTGCTTCTCGGTTTCCTTCGCACGGCTTGACTCGACCACGTGCTAACTTACGAGCTACGATCGCCCTTCCACGTTTTCTCTTCTCTCTCTCTCTCTTTCTCTCTTTCTCTATTTCTATTTCTTTCTTTCTCTCTCTCTTCTTCTTTCTGTTTCTCATTTTATCTGGCTTTCTTTCCTTTCCTTTACCTCTTTCTCTTGCCCGTCTTACCGTCTCGTGTCCCTCGTCTTAACGTTGCCCCCACGTTGTATCGTTTTTTCGCTCCCTTCGAGAGACCACTCTAGATTATTAATCCACCAGCGCGAGAGAGAATCCGTGACGTTCGCGGAGAAAATTATGGGCTGAGAGTACAGTCAAGGTGCTGCTGCGTTAACAAGCGTCAGTGTGGAACGTCAAGGAAGGATAGCGGAGTTTCGAGAATGCAGGAGTTTCCTTTTATCCACCGAAGACTGATCGAAATCGTTGTAAACTAGATTTTTCTATCACTTGTAGGAATTTTTCGGGCTTGTTCAATACGCGTGTTTCACATACACATAAAACACATATTGAAAGCAAAAGAAACAAAGAAACGACAATGGAAAGAAAGTGATAGCGTGTAGTACAGAGTGATCTTGCAGTTCAGAAATAAGAATGAAAGAGAAGAATGAGAGGGAAAGAAGGAGGGAGGGAGAGAAAGAGATCGACAAGGTCCAAAGAGCCGACAATGGTTAAAGAGCTTTCTTCCTCTTTCCATCTCAACACGCACAAGACAAGACGCACCTTTTGAGCTGACTAGAAGGAAAGGGGACCAGTATTCTCGCTTTTTTTCTTCTACTACTTCTCTTACTCTCCGTCTTTCTCTCACATTGTCGGAGTGAATTTATTTTCACGTTCCTGCCTTTTCTGGACCTTTCACAATATTTGGGCATACTTTGGCATCTCCAGCGCCGGTGACCAGAAGATACGGCTTTGAGCTGTCCGTGATGGATGATTCGCTCTCTAAGTTGCCACAACTGCTGTTTCTCTCTTTCTTCCGCTTCGGTCCTCGTCTTTCTTCTCTATCCGATAGAGGATGTTAGACACAGCGGCTAACTCAGGGCCGCTCAGCTTTGAAACCTGCGTGCACCTGAAATCGAAACTAATGACATACCTATATCGCGAGACTGTTCTACGAAAAACATGAATTGTACGAATCAGAGAATATTCTCCTTGGTCAAAGATGTCACGCATGTTTTTTTGCAAACAATAAAATTATCTTTGTGAAAAATTATTATAAGATATTATGTTGTAAGTACACTCGGTTATTGACAACTTGAACCATTTGCCGACTCGATATTTGAACATTTGAACATATGTTGCCGCAAATGCTGAATCAGAGATACTACGCGCGCGAATATCGCCGAAAGCGTATTGTCCAAGAGCGTCGGGCAATGAGCCGTCCCTGGGTCGGCGGACCCTTCAGCCCCAGGACCGTTCCACTGCGCGCGCGAGTTCGTGCAGGTATATAAATTCTGGTGCTATTATTGGGGTTTGCGCCTTCTCACAAGGCCCTCTGGGCCCCGCGGCGGCCCCTTTGAGCTACTCTTTCCGCCTCTCTCGCCCTTGGCACCCTCTTGCTCCCGCTTATCGTTCTTGACCCCCGTCTCGTTCTTCTCAGTATCCCCTCCTTCCCACCCTCCGTCCATCTCCTCGTTCGCCTCGTCGCCCAGCGTTCTCTGTTTCTCCGCCGGCTATGCCACATCGCCCCTGTCCTGTTTGTTTTTCTTCGCGTCGTCTTCCGTTTGCTAAACGCACCTTAAATTACGCGGCCGATGATAAATATTTGAGCCGTCCATTACACGAAAGGTCCGCTTTGGACTATCGTTCGGTCAATGTTACCTCTTCTTGCTCGACATTAGGTTCCTTCAGGATATCGTGTTTCCATCGAAAAAGAGACAGCTGAACTCGTACGTCGGCGGTATACCGCGCGTCGACAGATATTTGCGGCGTGAAAAAGAATTTTCTGCCTGAATCGGCGTTTCGCTGTTTGACGTGAAAAGGGATCGTGAAAGGGGAACGAAATCTTATCGCGAGAGATTTGAGGGTAATCCCTTTTTAGATAAATTTTACCTTTTACCGGACGATGACAAACTGTCCTTGTTTGATTCACATACAGGATATGTCTAATCTTTTATTTGCAAGTTTCTTAATCTGAACTCGATTTTTTTCAACAAAAACTGTGAAAATAGTTAAGTAACTCTTCGTGGATTGATTTCGAAAAATGCCTACTAGTTGGACTGACTGGATCTATGAGACTACGCGACTAGAAGTAAACATTTCCGTGAAAAATCAATATTTTTCCATTTTTATTTTTCAATTTTTTTGAATCAAAAGTTTGAACGATTCTGCGTCGATCAAAAAACAAATTGAAAAAATCTCTAGTAGTTTTGATGATATAAGCGTTTTAAAAAAAAACTAATTTTTACTAAAGACAGATGCGCAATTTTTGAGTGGATCTGGGAGATCCATGTGAGTCCACAAAAAGTTAAAATTTTCAGAGAGTCAATGCAAATGTAGGTCAATGCAAATGTAGGTTTTGATGATGTCGAACATATATACGTCGCGAGCAAATACCGCAATAGAAAAGAATATATTAATATTAATTGTACATTTGTATAGACGTTTCTTCTCTTTGTCTTTTCTTCTTCTCTCTTTTCTCTCAGCCGGCAATCCTCTTCTTCTCTTTTATATTTTCTCACGATGCAATGATCTTACACGACACGGCAACACTGCGCCGTTACTTGCACCTCGATAGCAGAATTTTATTTCCAATCCGCGCACCACCACCGCGCAGCTGCCACGAAAGTCAAAGTGCCTCGTAACAGGATTATGAAATGTTCCGGAGTAGCGTTCCACAGATGTTTACAGCCCGTGAATACTCGTTACTTTTTATTGCCGCCAAGTTTTAGCGATTTCTGGCATTGGTTCTGTTAACGAGTGACATTTTATATTTTCGTTGGATCATAATTCCCCCTCTTTCCGCGTAGAGCGATGCATATGGTTTGTAATGCTATTGTGTTTCCGGATATGCTGAGGAAGTCTTGGAAAATCAAATCCTGTAACGCACATTTTATTTTACGTTATTTCGAAACTTACACACAAAAAATTTAATATAATATAACATTAAAACTTATAAGTTAACGTTTGTGTGTTAATATTATATAAATAACGCTAGAGATCTCTGTTTTGAGTAAAATTTTTATTTTGTTTCTTTTTCTACATATACAAAAAATATGTGAAGTCTAACGTGAACGAACAAATCGTTGCGTTTATACGACCAAGGATTAGAAAACACTGTTTTTCACACGAGACATTTTTCTTGGTCGTAATCCTGTCATAGGTATCGCTAGAAAATCTCAAGTTCGTTTCGGCGCGACGTTTGTGTAAATTTCGACGGGCCAATCGTCGCTCGTGTTCGGGAAAGATGTTTATTATCAGTAAACCAAGTTTTCTTTCTCTTTTTGCTGTACATTTCTCGATCTCTTTCTCGAATAAATGTTTATTCGCCCCGACCCTTCGTGTATGTAGTAGAATTCATATCAGACGATGTGTGGCTCGCATTCGGTATTCACGCAGTGTATATTCACTTTGAAAATGTCGAGAACAGTCATCGACGTGTATAATATTAATCGCATTTTTTGCGATGTAATACGATCGCATGATTGCTGATTGTACATAGTGCATACATGTGTTTGTAACTTCGGCGCGTTATATTTATGAATTTTGTATATGTGTACCTTTGCGACGAGTCAAAACATCTTGCAGAATACAACGTTTGATAAGCTAACAAATAGTTTGCGTCTGTGGGCGCGAATATTTATTGATTTTTATCAAAAAAGTGATAACATCGTTTGGCACGAATAAATCAGCTGTACAAATTAACATTTAGACACTTTCGCGCTGTTTACAACAATAACTTTGATATCTTTTTGCGAAGATTTCGATGAAGTGCGAGAACTGCGCGACTAAAGTGAGTTACGAGCAGATACGTGTGATAGAAATAAAAAGAAACAATATGAAAAGAGCAAGGTCAGTGAAGAAGTGCAGTTAAAAAAGAAGAAATAAACAAAGAGTGAAGTCTTTCGTGACATTCAACATATCGATTTATCGTTCTCGTAGATATTCTGTACTCGTAACGCCTTGTTTGCATTATTTTCAATGCGAAGGTGTCAATTTGTACGCGTACGCGCAAGGTTCGAACGAAGAAGGAAGAAAGCGACGCACACTTCGATGAAGAGACGAACGGAATAACGAGGTGAGACGATACGACGAAGAAGAACTGTAGTACGATTGGCAATAGCGGTGGAGACAAGAAACGAAGAAAGAAAAAAGATAGTTTAAGAGGAAAAAGACCGACGCGAAGAGAGGACGAAGAAACGACTCGCAAGAATAGAAGAAGCGATCGTGTTTAGTTAAAGGAAGAGAAAGGTAGAAGATTCTTCCTAAGTTTCTTTCTTTTCTTTTCTCTCATTCTCTTTTCCTTCTTTCTCTCTTCCTTTCTCCTGGGCTTGATCTCTTTCACTCTTTCTCTTTCTTCCTTCTCCCTCCCGTCGTATGCACCTGTCTTCGTTTACCTGGTAAACGCCCCGCCCCGGCCAATGAAGGTACGGCAGGCCTCATGACGTCAGTTGCGCGTACCAGGAGGCCCTAAGTGGAGGGGACGAGATCATCCACCACCATCACCACCGCCACCACTTCTGGACACCACGAGAGCTTCACGGGGACCAGCAGCTAGCAGCAGCCAGCGGCGACGGTCTGGCCAGTCGTTCGCCGCGGGGTGGGGGCAGGAAGAGGGGTACGTGCCTTGGACCTGGCCAGGCCAAAGAAATAACGTCAGGAGTACCCACCAAAATCCATCCTGCATTTCCCACCACCGGCTCGTCCGGAAAACGTGCGTTAGCTTCCGGACGACGGGTTCAGTCAAGTGAGTCGAGTCACACGTACCTCCTCTCTGACGAAAACGATCGCAGGGGATTCCGCTCCGAGTGAGGAAAGGCGGGAGTGTTGGCGCGTGCCGACGTGAATTTAAAGGGCTTGGTTTTCGATAGAAAAAGAAACGTGGCTCAGTCGAGAGAACCCGGCTTAGGATAATTTTCCGAGAACAAACGTCCCGGCGTCTCGAGTATAGGTACATAAAGAATTTGCTTTCTCGTAAATCCTTTTTGGAATCACGACTTGATGATACCCGGTCGTAAAATTGATTCCTTTTGGTACTCACAAAGGGAAGCGAACAGCTTTCCTCTGATTTTTCGAGAGGTAGCTCCGCGTCGATTCGCTATCTCGCGTTGCTCGCGTTACGCTCGAGTTTTTACAAGTGAACCATCATTGGCTAGTTGGTTGCGTGCGGTGATTAGCGAATCAATTACAGGGATCGCATCGGTGGTAAGAGTGCGTGCACGGGTGCACGGTGTGTGATGCCCTCGTTATGGTTAACCGTGAGTGAGGTCAGTGGCAAAAGGCGGAGAAGAAGAATCGGCAGCGCAACGTTATCCGGATTGTCATCGTTGTTGCCACCGTATTCGTCGTCGTTCTACCAGCCGTTCTGGAGACGACGAGAGCAGTGACCGCGCAAGGTCGACCTCGAGGCAGAGGTACGCGATTATGGTGAACCATCATCATCGTCGCCGCGGCCTCCAGGCGAGCCTCCACATACTTTTGTTGATCCTCGGCCTCTGTGGGCCCGTGCTCGATAACAGCGGTGGCATCGCACTGGCATGCGGACCCGGACGAGGCGGTGGCCGACGGCCTATCCTGAGGAAACTCACACCCTTGGTCTACAAGCAGCATGTGCCGAATGTCAGCGAAAATACATTGCCGGCGAGCGGACTCAGTGAAGGACAAGTGGTAAGAGACGATTCTCGATTCCGAGACCTGGTGCCCAACTATAATTCGGACATCATCTTTAAAGACGAAGAGGGCACCGGTGCCGATCGTCTCATGACACGAGTGAGTATTCTTTCTTTCACAAATAAGCAAAGGCGGTTGTAAATGAAGATATGAGTTTTCAGAGAGTTAAAATATCTCAAGAAGTTAATGTGATGAAAATATGATTAAATTATTAAATATTATAATTAAGATATTATATAATATCTTAATTATTATTGAATATTATAATTAGATCATATAATAATGATTATTTTGAATGTTGCTTGTTACCTTCATTTATTTGCGCCTTTAAATGCTTATTTTATTATGCACAGAGTATTAAGTAGAGGTCAATATGCAAAGAGTATTGACATTTATTTCAAATTCTTAAAATGTATTTTGTGTAACTAACAAACAAATCGTTGTGAAGATACATGACAAATTTAGATCCAGCAAAACTTAATACTACGCTTTTCTTAACAAAATAAACATACGAATCGCAAATCGTTTTAAATTGCGCTACTTTAAATGATGGAAATTCGATTCTGGCGCTTCGTCATTTGTTGCAAGGGATGTTATTCAAGTGCGATGGCTATATAATGTCACGGATGATAAAACGGAGTACTGTGTCAATACGTGATAAGGACGACCGTCCTTGAGCTCATCGCATCGGTGAATCATCTTACGAAACGATATACGCGGATATCTCACGATTAATCGATCAGTCGCTATTATGGTCGTGTTGCGTCTCATATTAATTAAAGTGACAATTGGATGCGACTTTATCGCGCTCGTCGGCTTTCTCGCTTTTTCCCGTAATTGCGTCACGGTGAAACCTGGCAAAGTAATGATAATCAATTTACTCCAAAAAATGTACTTATTCTTAATTATGCCTTCTTGCATTAATCATGTCTGATAATAACGCGATGATTCATTTACCGGCGATATATTGAGAACGTGTCGTTTACTAACCTGATACTAGCGCAGAACATTTCGGGGTTCAATACAATATCAAGTTCAAATATGTGTAGTTACGTAAACTAAAAATGCTCATGTAAAATTGCTTATTACAGACAAACTGTATAAAAGATAAACAAATGTATAAAAGTTAAGTCAAGTCACTTTATCAATTTTCTTTTATCTTTTTAAACATTTAAAGTCCTCTCTCCTCAAGAATTTTTCTATCGTTTTGTTTAACACACACGCAAATCATTGATCTGTAATTGTGAAATCACAAAATAATCTCATAAACTGTCTACATAGATATAATGGCAAGTTTCTAATATATATTGTTCGAGTGTCTTCCATGAAGACACCGGGTATATGTGCGCGTGTTATTACTTTAATGCGTGTCACTGTACTCCGAGCCGTATGACAAACTGGCTACTGCACGTCGTTAAAACGTTGGCAGGTGATTCACGCGAAATGCCGAGCCATATGATAAGCTGTTCGATCGTGCTCGCTTCACGCGAACAAGATCGATAGTTTATATATATGACGTACGATCGTGTACTGCTATTAAAGCAGTTATATTTCTCCTCGGAGATATTAGACGTATTTCCTTCCAGAAATTTTTCCGAGACCAAGAAAGCGACATATTTAAATAGACGAGACCCGACTTCGCGCATCAGAACTATTTCGCGCGTTTACACGTAATTGTGAATACGACGATTCTCGTAAAAAAATTTACATCACACATATGTGCCACTTAACATTCAAAAATAGTCCGCGATATTGTGAGAAAGCGCGAGAAAAAAAGGAGGATGTTCGATCGCAGGTTGCCCGTCATCACCTTTCAGAAGAGAAGACTATTCGAGGTTTATTCCTCTTCCATGGAGACTCCATTAGTGCTTTATTCATGCATTTTTTTATCGTTGTTTGCCTTCCACTTGGCGCCCCCGCAAAGCGTGAAACGATTCTCCTAACTCTGAGCCCGTTGTATTCCAATTTGTAAGTCGACGCGTCGCCGCGTCACACAAAAGACGGTTCCGGCGCCGCAAACGGCGTTGCTTTACGCGGATAAAAACCTGAATTCTTAAAAGCTTATTTAGAAAATGTCCAAACACACATATATCTATACGAAATTTCATAGTACCAATAAAAACTCACGATACATACAAGAGCGGCAATTCAATTATAGATTTGCTAAATTATGACAAACATTCTATCAAATAAGATATTATAGTTAAATTTTGTGTTAAGATGTTTTACGCGCACGTATATATATTTTTGTCTGAGAACGTACTGTGTCTAAAAGAGAGAAACTAACGATCTCTAAGATTTATGTGAGAAATGTTAAAAACTTACAAGAAAAAAAATTATTATAAAATAGTCGCGACTTATTTAATCTAACGAAGAAGAAGAAGATTGAACTGAGCGCAGAAGACATGACGGAATTCGGAGAAAGTAACAGACGTTTTCCATTCGGTTTGTAATTAATTTCGCAAAGACGGGACTCTTTTTAGGACACCGTCGGAGCAGTGACAAAATATTACCACAAAATACTGCATCCGTTTTTCCTTTTGCGGAAGATACATGCTGTGCTCCTTTCTAAAAGAACCGCTCGTTTTAGTGTTATTACTCGACTTTTGGGACGGTTTAGAAAAAAAACAGATAATCAATTTTCACGAAATCAATTGACGCCGTCTGAAAAACCTACCCCGAACTATTCAAAAGTTTTTAAAGATCATAAATCAGAATGATTGTCCCAAGAATAATAGTTTGGGTTCATTTTAACTTATTCAAATCAAGTTTTGTGTATGTAACAAGAGAACGGAAGCTCTGTCATTTTTCAAACTTTTTTCACTTTGATTTTATTTATAGATTTGAGAAGAAAATTTTAGAGACGTTTATACATGAATGAATTTAATATACAGCGTGCGTTAAAGCAAGGAAATTTATATATTTGTTTGACTTTCCTAAGAATATTTTACAGGATCCGACGCGTTCCGGGCGTTTGCTCCGGGCATCGATGTCTCCTTAAGCGGACGCGATCCGTCGGTAGTTCGCCAGTCGGTGCTCGTTAGCGCTGCATGTAACGTGAATTCCCAAACGGAAATATACTTTTCCGATTATAACGAGGCGATAGACGCGGCCAATTTGCGTGAACGAGACTCGCTTTTTCACGAGCGCTGAGGGTCTCGGCGCGCTTTCAGCTTGTTTGGAAATAACGAGAACGTCGGACGATCATATGTCAAAACGTTTGTGCCAGCATAAATCAAACGGGATATATTTATCTCTTCGCAAAGAGTACAGTTAAGTTTTATCCACTTACTGTGATTAATAGATGACCCGCAATCGGAACAATTTTCTAACTTCTTATCATATGTGTGTCGACCAAAAAAAGTTGTTTACATCCAAACAGCTAAGCAAAATCGTACTTTGAATGTAATTTGATAGTGCGACGTATAGCTATTAATTGATTGGTCAACAGTGTGATTAATGAAAGTAATAAAATTTTGTATTTTTTATTTAACAATGTGATTGCGCTAACTTGCGAATAAGCTAATTTTTTATCAGCAAAGATCGCAATCAAAGATATATTACATAAGCCAATAATGTAAACAACACAAACATTTAACAATTGTAAAAAGAAACAGGAATCAATATCCGTAAAGATTTGAACAACTTGCGAAGTTGTATCTGAAGAAGGCATTGTTTTAAGAGGAGAGAGAGAGAGAGAGATAGAGGGAGAGGAAGAGAAAAGCCGGATTCGAGAGAAATAACAAATCGCTGGTAACTCGTCCTACGGTCGTGTCCCGTCCATCTGCTTCATCCTGCCGCTCTCATCCTGATCGCGCGCGGCACTAGCCGGTCGCGCGGAATAAATAGGGAGAAAAAGCGCGCACCGCGCGCCGGCTCTAAGTGATTGTGGGTAGTTTTATGACGGCTATAACCGGTGTTTGGTTTAGCGCGTTAAAGCTTCCCCAATTATGGCAAATAAACCTAATAGCCGCGCTTCCCGTTCTTCTTCCCGCTGTATATCTTTCTCGCTCGCCGCTCGCGATATCGCGCTCTTTTCCACACGAAGTTTGTCCTTCTTCGTTCGATCGGATCTCGTGTTCATCGTGTTCTACTACGAAATGCAGAGGTGAGGTGCGAGATTTATTTGGTTGCCAGATGACAAAATTGGAGATCACGCTCCGAGCTTGACGGATGACATCACACATACGATTTTTGATGATTCTCGATTTGTTGTGACGCATTTTTGCAGCAACGCGCAATTCACGGTTTGGTTGACCACTCCCGTTGAATCGAGACGATCGCAGATAAGATAAGCCATGACGCACACAAAGCGCGCGTCCGACTTGCAGTGACTTGCAGTCGGATGTTTGATGACAACCGATGATCAGCCGAGTAAGATAGGTTGGTACGAAGAGTTTGGGGCACAGCGTTTTCAAGAAACGAAAGTTCTAACACAAGTACGCGCAATATAGTTCTCCAAGTGCCATTAATAATTTCAACGATTTATTCAGAAAAATTTCAGATTAATTTATGAAGTGATAACTTCGCTTGACTCCGGAAGCTGTTTTTGGATTGTAAATGTTGAGCGCAAAGTAGTTTACCACTTTCATTTGATTTTATTTATAGAGAGCTGTTGTGTTATTCTAATTTAGTTACCGCCATTGACATTGTTGAGAAGCAATAAATAAAATCACTTTGCTTTCCCGTTGGTTAACTGTATGACATTATATATATATATATATATATATATATATATATATATTTAGTATATCTTGTACGATCGTATCGATTAAAAGCGAGCGCTGTGATTATAGAGAGTTCTCGGAGATCGACCCACGCGCGCGAGAGTTCGGTGATAATTCACCCGTCAAAAAAATTGGCGTTCGGGAAAATTAAACATTCATCATTGCTCACCGATACCGGCTAATTCACGATGATAGTTTCACGGCCCCCGCAAAAATTTATGAAGCGCATTTACTACAGTGATTTCATGTTCGAGGAATTTATTTATTGATCAAGCCGAGAGAGAGAGAGATGAATACATATACACACGTATCTATTTGCTTGCGGAATAGCGTTGACTTGCGAAACTTGTTTCATCGTCGCAATTTGTTTCG